CGATGTGCCGCGACAGCGCCGGCCCTGGCTACTGCGTTGCAGCCCCAGCTGGTTTGTAGAAGTAGCAGCAGTAGTAGCAGTAGTAGTAGTAGTAGTAGTAGTAGTAGTAGTAGTAGTAGTAGTGGTAGAGTAGTAGTAGTAGTAGTAGTAGTAGTAGTAGTAGTAGCAGGAGTTGAAGCAGCAGTAGTACCAGCAGTAGCAGCAGCCGTAGCCGTAGCGGTTTGAAGTTTAGGGTTTAGGGCTTTGGGGTTTGGGGTTTAGGGTTTGGGGTTGACGGGTAAGACCTACTACAACCCAGGAAGAAACTACTTAAACTCGACTTGCCAGCTGTGGATCTGCACACCTTGGAAGATGTCCTGCCAACCGCTGTGTCACAGTCTGGTAACTAGATCGAGTGCTCAGGCATAGTATGACTAAATTTGCAGGCTTCTTTATTCCCTTTTACTTATCCTTAGGGGCTGAGTACCCTAGCCCAAAAAAAGGTTAAACTTTTGAACTATAGTAGGATTATAAGAGCCCCAAAAGGTTAAAGGTTACCTACTCAGCCACTAAGTATCTGTCCAGTATCCTAGGGGAACTAAAGGTTAGCTCTTGGGAGTCTACTTCCGGGTTCACAGTACCGCGAAAAGAGTAAAGGTTACGTACCCTACCAGAAAATGTGTGTCCTACTTGTTCAGTACCTGGCGCAACTAAAAAGTGAACCTTTGGGATTATATAGGGCTTGTAGTACCCCCGAAAACCTAAAACACCTAAACCCTAAACCAAGGCTACCTACTCAACCACTGATTCGCTACCTTTTCAGCAACTCTGGGGGACTGCCAAGAAGCTCAAAGGATGGACGGTCACCCCTGAACCCATCCTGGGTTGTTCAGGAAGGGTTGAGGGCTTGGGGCTATAGGTTCTAGAGATACAGGACACGATGAAATACACAAGTTTAGGGAGAAGGGTTACAAGAGCTCAAACATCAACAAGTTGAGGGTTCAGGGTTTAGGCATTTCGGAACCAAGAAGCCCAAAAGCGCTGAAGCGTCCTGTTGAGGGTTTAGGATTAGAACTTAGGGTAAAAGCAACCCAGAAGTGGGACAGCAGAAAAAATATGTTACTGAACAGCCTAGCTTCGCTTCTGCTGTAGCCGTTCTCGCTGGGGCCCTGCTTTCCACTCCGTCCGTTTGCTTTACCGTTTGTCTTCGACTTTCCTTCCTCTTTAGGACCATTTCTGTAATGCGCCCTCAGTCGAACAATGCCTTTGGCCGGGTTGTCAACGTGAAAACGCTTGCCACGACCACCTTGACTGCGCTCTGCGACGTGTAGCACCTGCTCCTGCGTGTATCCGAGATTGGATTTCTCAATGAGCTCCTCCAGCAAAATGAACCCGTTTGGGTCTTGCGATATATCGTACTTGTAGGCCTCATATCGCAAGATACGACTAAGGTTTTTGGAGATACTGTTTTCCAGCTCAGGTGTCATGTAGTCTCCGTTCATGACTTCCCACCGAGAACTTCACGATGCCGCAGAGTCGGATACTTCGTCGAACAAAGTACCCAAGCCAAAGGACTGATATGAGGTACTGTTGGTCTAAAGCGTGACTTTAAGCCGAGTGTTTCGTGCGACCACTAGTCACTGACTGCTGGATCTTTGCAGACCTATTCCTCTTGTCAAATGACAATTGAACAGCTCCTTCCTGCTTGATCTGAGATGCGACGGCAGACTGCACCCGAAATCATCCCTCGTCCCTTAAGGTCTCAAACAACACCTTTTGCCTGCGAAGCGATAGTGCAGTGTAGCTGAACCCCACCGATGCAATTGCGAACCCCTAAAACCTAAACCCTAGACCCGAGGCCCAAGCCCACACCCTAACTCGAAAACCAGAACACCAAGCTATAAAGCGCTAGCAAGCCAAGAACCCTTGCAAAAGCCTACAAAACCCCTTATAAAAAAAACCGTTTAGTTTAAAGCTGTAAAACACTGTATAATTTGAACACGAAGCCCTTTGCCCACTTTCTGGGCTTGAAGAAAGTAGCTGAACCTAGGGTTTTCTGTTCAGGATTCGAGGGTTACTTAAAGGCTCAAGGGACGGTTTAGGGTTTAGGGTTTAGGGGTTTAGGGTTTAGTGGTTTAGGGGTTTAGGGTCCAGGGTTTAGGACTTATAAAGCACGTAGCTAAAGAGTGAGGGTATAATTAGGCTAACCCCTAAACCGAACCCTAGGCTTGCTCCCTAAGTCCCCTGAACCGTAAACCCTACAACCGAGACCCTACTTACTAAGCTCCTGAGTCCTTAAGTAGTATAGGGCCATAACAAATTAGAGTAGGGTTTTGGGGCTCATTATGCTATAATGATACTAAGGAACCCCCCCCTCCAAAAAAAAAAATAGTTTAGGTAAATATTTAGGCCCTTATATTATTCAAGGTTTGAAGTTCATGGTTTGACTGAGGGTTCTGGAAGCTCTCTGCCTCAACCCCTAAACTCTATACCCTACACCCTGAAAACTTTTTAATCGGTCTTGGTGTCGGATTTTGAGATGTGTTCGGTCTTTGTAGGGTTTAGGGTTCACGGTGTGTTTGGGTGCTATAGAACGGTTCTCTGTTAAGAAATCAGATATCAGGAACAGTTTTTGTGTTTATGTCTTTTAGGATCAAACGGATAAGCTAGTCGACTCATGATGCCAACTCCGGAAAGACAAACTCATCGACCCACCCAGTGTCAAAACCCCTTTGGGCCCGAATGCAAACTCCAGAGCAAGACTGCAAATAACCTAACCCTTACCCTAAAACCCTAAACCCCAGAGCCCATCTTGGCCCTAAATGCCCCTAAATGTCAAACCCCTAGATACCTCCGACCAAAGAGTACATGCGAAACGTAGCAAACAGAAGAGCTAGTCGAAGAAAGGCCGCACCCTGAAGGTCGAGCCCTTCAGGGTTCAGGGTTCAGGGTTTAGGGGTTTAGGGTTTAGGGCTTAGGGTTCAGGGTTTAGGGTTAGGGACGGCTCAAGGTTTGAGGTCGAGGGCTATGGGTTTGGAGCCTAGGCGGAATACTTTATCAAGCTGAAGTTTCGGGGGGTCTAAAGATGGCTTGAGCAAGCAGCACCTCGCCAAGCCGAAAGCGCAAGGCTTCGGGCAACTATAGGGACACTCATAAGTAGAATTGGGGTTCCTTTAAACTGGGTTCTTGTTACGGAACTTTAAGTTACAAATCATGATAAGGAAACTCTATTATTTACTGTAGACCCCTGTTCTGATAACTGCAGTTCCTGAACAAGAAACCCTAAACCCTCAACCCTAAACAGTTCCTTTACAGGAAGCCCGTATCAGTGAGGCTGCTCCTTAACTCCAGTCACCAGGTCCTTCACTTAGTTACAGCTTAGAGGCTTAGAGGGTTTAGAGTCTGAGGTTTGGGGGTTAGGGTTTAGGGTTTGGGGTTTCGAGTTTAGGGTTTGGGGGTTAGGGTTTAGGGGTTTATGGGTTTAGGGTTTAGGGTTTAGGGTTCGATCTAAGCTCTAGAGGGATCTTGGGCCTCAGCTTAGGGATTTTCGAATGGGGGGTTTAGGGTTTACGGTTGCATCATGTTGTATCCTTTCAACCATACTAGAGATCTGTGGACTAATCGACCCCCCCGAGCGAATACTGTCAGTCCCGTACCCCTTACGAAAATCCTAGAGAAGAACCGCAAACTGTACCCGTCATAGAAGGAAGCCAGGCATCTAGCTAAACTCTAAACCCTAAACCCTGAACCTTAAATCCTAAACCCTAAATCTAACTAACGCTTTTAGAAAGGGCAAGAAACCCCCTAAGCGAAAAGATGTTCTACGCAGAGGTAGAACCCATAGAGCCCAATTCTACGTAATTAAGGAGACACTATTAAGCTTGATTTAAGGAAGATTCCTTGACTTAATTTAGGGTTTAGGGGTTAGGGCTTAGGGGTTGTTGGCCTTTGTGGGAAGGGGGTTTTGGGAACTTGGCAGTCTTCGTACCTCAGGGTGTAGGGTTTAGGGTACACCCCCCAGTGTTATCTAGGTTGGCTTTTGAAAGCCCCTGACAAATTATTCGTCAATAAGCCCCACTTAAGGCCAAAAACAGAAAATGCAAAATAGAGCACTTTTCTTTGACACTGAACCCTAAACCCTGGGCCCTAAACTAAACCC